TGGGCCAGTGTTGGCAGCAATGACTGCCAGCGCACGAGTTGTGCCACAGTTTGGCAGCCATAGAGTGGGCACTCATTCTTGTGATACTTCCAGTCATTCTCTGACACTCTTTACTGCAGTAATACATGTGAAGACATTTCGCGCATCCCTTCAATTGATCCGAGCGTTTGAAACAATTGTCACAATATTTGTGTATTTGAGAGAGAGAGAGAGAGAAAATGAAAAAAATAAATAAAAATACCCATTTTCTATGGGGTTTAATGGGGTTATGCCGGCCATCGGTTATAAGCCTGGCCGGCCTTCCCGGGGGGGTCGTGAATACCCCGGGGCTCCTATTAAGCCCGTATTGGATGCCGCGATAGGCAGCGCCCCTCCGGTGTCTGCAATCGCAGGCACCGGGAAGTGTGAGTCCCGGTGTTTGCACTCAAAGAGTGGATGAGTGCGAGAGAGAGAAAGAGAATAAACACATTTTTAAATTTTAAATTATATTTTTTATTTTAATTAATAATAATTTTAATTAATAATAATAATAATAATTAATAATAATAATAATTAATAATAATAATAATAATTAATAATAATAATTAATAATAATAATAAAATAATTAAAAAAATTATTTTTACATTTTGTTTGTGTGTTGTATTGTGTTTGTGTTGTGTGTGTGTGTGTGTGAGAGAGAGAAAGAAAGAAAGAAAGAGAGAGAGAGAGAGAGAGAGAGAGAGAGAAAGGGAAACGCGGTTTGGACCTGATAGGAGCGCGCCGGTGGGTGGCCCGGTTCCCCACCACACAAGGAGGTTACCGCGTGGGGAGACACCACCGGAGCGCATAGGGTGTGTTATATATTTAGTATCATTTACTAAAATTACATTATAATTTCAGTACATGATACTAAATACATAACACACCATCGAAAGTTTTATATGTACAATATTTACATTTAAATATATCTATATAAATAACACTTGGATTAATATATAATTATTAATTATTTTACAATAGGTTTAATATAAACCAAAAACATTACAACTTTTTGAGTTATAATCTGATTATTAAATTATTAATAATTTCTATATACAATGTGTGACATACATTTCTGACATTTTTACATTAATCAAATATATAAATGTCAGACTTTAACACTATAGTATATACAAATATATGTACAAATATAACTATATACAAGGTGTGTCATAAATCTCAATAGTTATTATACGATGTAAATGTTTAATATAAACCAAATACATTATGAATTTTGGATTCATAATCTCATTAATATGTTATTATTAATTAATACTTATTATTTGTTTTAACACAAAGTACACAAAATATTTACAATTTTACATTAAATTTAAAAATTATTCATAAAATTCACTCTTAAATTAAACAACAGTTTGTTAATTAAAATTATTTATTATGAAAGAAGGTTTAATATAAACCAAATACATTATAAATTTTGGATTTATAATCTAATTATTTATAATTATTAGTTTATTTTCATTTTACACTTTATATACAGAACTCATATTTACATAAATTCAATATTTTGTTCAAAAATGTCAACAAAAACAGGGTTAAGATTGGGTCCGTCTGTCATTAAATTGTGAGCACGTGGTCTCACGGGAAGGGGAGCATTAGGTAAAGGCATTATTGCTTCAAAGTGAAGTTGGTGATGTCTAATACAGATTGGTGTTTTATGCTGTATTTCTTCACTATGAGCAATCCACGTACTAGCCATATGTTCTTGACTCGTGTACACATATATCGGCCTATTGATTGATATTTGTGTTGCCAATTCAGCCACTCTAAAGGCCCACGAGAAATAATTTGGTAATTTCAGTGTGTGATAGTATCTATTAGTTATGTGCTCTTTGTCAGACAAAGTACTGATTGAGAGGCATGTGAACATTAAACGTGCGTTTTCATGAATGCCGTCCGCTATCGTACGACGAGAATAGTCGTCAAAATAATTCATGTGTCTCAGCACTGCTATTAATGATGCGAATCTTATAACAGGCATATATTTGGTGTCGCCAAATAATGTTCGTGAAACGGCGTGATACCAGCAGTTGCCGTCACTACGATTGCTAACTCCTTTGTAGTGTTGTCTCATTTCTTGCGGTATTTCGTTACAGTCATTTAGCAAATAATTTCGTCCCTTCACACGGGATGTGTAAGTCAAAGGTTGAGAATTGTTTAGAATATCATCAACTCGTGCACACAATTCACTGTTTTGTTCAAGAACTGTTTGTCTTAACTGTTGACAATCCCACATAAACACTCGTTCTGTAATCAATTGGTGTAACAGATCAGTGCAGACACCTGGGAGATCGTCATACTGATCTAATGTGTTGAGTTCACTTGTGTCCATTGGTTCGTCAAAGCGAAGATTTTTAGGTTTTGCAGGACTCGCCTCTGGATCTAACGGCGGTCGTTTATTTTTCGTCGGTGTGTTCAGAGAAAACCCTTCAAGTCCTTCAGTGATGTCTTGGCTGCTGAGAGCTTCTGTTTGTTTTGAATCATTGGGTTTTATTGGTTTGTCAAATATTGGGTAAAGTGTTTTATTGTCTTTTGGTTTATGTTCAGAGAAAACCCTTCAAGTCCTTCAGTGATGTCTTGGCTGCTGAGAGCTTCTGTTTGTTTTGAATCATTGGGTTTTATTGGTTTGTCAAATATTGGGTAAAGTGTTTTATTGTCTTTTGGTTTTTTGTTTTTCATGATCTTATCTATATAGTCTTTCAGTCGTTTCTGATCTTTCAATTCTTTATCTGGTGGTGGAAAATATTCTTCTCTGTTGGGATTCAAGAGATTTACTTTTTCCACCCATTCAAGCAGTTTTTTATAATATTTGTGTAGTTTTATTTTTCTAGGCTCGAAAGCCAATAGTCTGAGATTTTCGAGTTTGCGCGGCCGTGACAATGCGGTGTATGCCTGACCTGACTCAAAAATGTCTTTGTCTAAATATACATACACGTCGTCGAGTGTCATACCCTGTACTCGATGTATTGTTACAGCCCATCCCAGTTCGAGCGGTAATTGTTCTCTAATAAACCGGTCTTCTTGACCACAATATTCCAGATATTGTCTGATCGGAGTAATAGGTATGTCTTCTATCGGTTCGTCGAGTGTTGTAATGATTACATAACGCTCTCCCATTACTTTAACTTTTGCAACCCTTCCGTTGACATGACCCGCAGCGGTGTTTAAATTGCGGCGAAGAATAACAATAGCTCCAACTTTTAATTTCAAAACAGTTGGTAATTTGTCAGAAATATTTTCGATTTGCATTTTTTCCAACTCACATTCGATTGTTTTGTGGTGGCCATTAGTGTCATGAGCCCTGTATTCTTTGAAATCACCAGTCAATGCGTTTAATATTTTATTATTAATGTCATCTCTCTTTTTGCAAAGAGACACAATAACGTGTAGATTTTTACTAATTATTTCGTTAATATCATAATCGTTAACCATTCGTTGTTTAAAATATGCGATCACTTCTTTCGTACGATGGCCTAACCGAACTTCTCGTAACATTTGAGCAAATTCTTTGTTATCTTGACGCACAATTTCTTGCAATACAAATATGTTAAAGTGTCTATTCGTTGTTTGAAATATGCGATCACTTCTTTCGTACGATGGCCTAACCGAACTTCTCGTAACATTTGAGCAAATTCTTTGTTATCTTGACGCACAATTTCTTGCAATACAAATATGTTAAAGTGTCTGAATATATCTTTACAATATATATGATCGTGATATCGAGTGGGGAGTTGCGCCGGATCACCGAAGAGAATGACGTGCTTTCCACCAAACGGCTGAATTTTCCCCGATGTTTTAAATTTGTTCATATATCTACAAGTTTTTTCCAATTCTTCAAACACTACACTTGTTATCATAGACATTTCATCGATAAATAACACTTTGCACATTTGCAGCATTTGTCCTTCAATTGTATTGATTTTCAAGTGAGAGTTATTTTTTAAATCAATTTTAAAATACGAATGAATTGTCTGGCCTTTCACGAGATGTGCGGCTGAACCTGTCGGTGCAAGTATTTGAAACGCACCAATGTCTAGTTCTTTTATCAATGCGCACAATCCTTGCAACAGATGACTTTTTCCAGTGCCTGCAGGTCCAACAATACAAGCACACATCTGTTTACGTTCAGTGAATGACTCGCGAATTGTGTCAAATATCTGTCCCTGTTCTTTGTTAAATGAATCGACGTAATATTGAAGTGGTTTGTGAACAATCTGTTGAACCGGATAATTCACTTCAATATCTTTATTGTCATCTTCGATTTCGTGTTCATCCGTGAAATCTCTTAGATGTGGGTCTCGAATTTCTAGTGTTCCTACAAATTGTTCTAAATCTAAAGCCGTAATATAATTGTTATTCATCATTTCTCCGGCAATTTTCATCAGTTTCTCTTTACTGAAAGTCATTGTCGCTGCGTTTGCGAGAAAGTCAAGTGCTGAGTCGTGATCCCAGAGATTTCTTATCATACATTCATTCATAAATGTGCCTTCTGTGTTCTCTTTGGATATTAATGTATCGAGATTAATTCTATCGAACAAAATTTTTTGCAAAAATATTTTCAAATAATATTTCTCTTGTTCTTTGCCATACGGCAAGAAAAAAGGAAAACGAATTACTGCAGAGTGTTTGCGCTTTACAACCACTCGATTTTTAAGATCTAAAAATTTGTTTTCTGATTCAATTACAAGTTCGTCACTTTCTTCAATATCCGAACAGTCATCGTCTTTACCAGTTCTTTCAAATTTTTGTGCTGATCTCAATGTGTAATCTTTATAATATTCGGGATATGTTAAATGTCTTAGATTTATTGGTCGATCGAGATATTTGTCAATTTTTGAGAAATAGTATACGTCTTCTGAATTGGGATCGGATGGCAAATCTTTGTTCCGTTTGAGCACCAGTCTCTCGATATCGCCGGGCAATTCAATCGGGAGATATATGACTTCTATATTAGAACTCTTGGCGGGAAACTGAAGCATATGATCATTAGCCTCAACCGATCCAATGAGTCTCATTTTTAGAAATCTTTCGACATCTGAGGAGTCTTTAGAGACTTTTTTGCCCCAATTCACTTTTTTTATTGGTTCTGGTTTTGTCATATATTTAGCCAAATACAACTCCCAACCGGCTCCTTGCACTTCTTGGATGTTAACGTGTGCGCGCATTGTTAACAACAGTCCGTAACTGTAAGGCACAACTCTTTGATCTTCGTGACATCTTCGCCGGTATAGTTTTCGAAGACTGCCTTCTTGTGGCATTGTTTCCGCACAGTAGCGATACGGGAAACCAAAGCGACAGTTCTTTACTTTTTTCTTTTTGCGCCCGACTACAAAGCATTTGTCTGCTCTACACGTGTGAATCTGATGTCTTTTCACGAGCATTTCTAGTTCTTCTTGTAATTCTTTGTCGGGTCCACCGCGTGGTATTTCCGCTTTTACTACATCTTCTTTTTTGGTTTCGGGCTCAACCCATATTGCACAGTGAATATGACCGCCTCCGCGCCATTGATACTCGCGCCTATACCAATAACGCACAA